AAACTGGGTTTGGGGATATATAAAGCAAGATGAAAAATGCAAAAGAATATATATTTAGGTGATAAATAACGCTAACAATGATGTGAAAAATTATAACAAGTAAAGCAAAAACTTACGCAATTGACACGAACCGGTTTTCGAAATATTATCCTTTTTCAAGTGTCGAGGAATGGTTATGAAATGACATTGAATTTGCGATTTATATAGTAGTCAGTTAATACAGGTTTTTGATTTTCAAAAAATTATTGAGTGAATCATGTCATATCTTTGATCAGTTGAGGATTAGGATTATTTTTGATTTCTTAATTAGTTGAGTCATATCTTTGATCAATTGAGGATTATAGGAATATTGGATTAGATTTTGATTATATCTGAGTAATAATTCAGGAGGATTAGATTATCTCAGAGTACAATTTACATAAATGAAAAACATAAATAATCAGAAATCAAGAATACAAAAATATAAAATAAATAAACATGAGAAATATTTGATAAAATAAGCGGGATTAGTGAATTGTAAATTGATTAGAACTAACGTTGAATTTTGATTATACCCGAGTAGTAATTTAAATGGATGGATTATCTCGGAGTATAATTTATGGAAGAAAAACATAAATAATGGCAATTAAATTTACTTGGTTAGATTAAAAGATTAATGCAAATTTTTTTGAAGAATGTTTGTTATATGCACGAGAAACAAATGTCAAAATCCTAACATATACAATATATACAAAAAAAATAAAATATATATAAGATGAAATAAAATATACCAAAGTCAAAATAAATTGTCTGATCTGGCCTGGCACGGACAGTATTAGATTTCGGGGAAGGGAGGGTTTGATTCTCCCAAATGTACAGGCCTAGGGTGGAGCAGACACTTTATTTAGAAATTAGGATTAAGGGTCTTGATATTGGGTTTTCTTCTGTTCTTATTCTGATCTGAAATTAGAAAAAATAACTCGCCCGATGGGCGAGAAGTATAGTATCTGTTATGTACTGATTGTTTTTAGTTTACTATGAACAATATTATCATTTAAGTTCTTATTTTTTGAATATGCAACTATCATTTTCTGCTTATAGACATGGGGGAATTTCTCTTGAAGGCTCTTATAGTGGGCATGAACTATCTTGCTTGCTCGATTGCTGGTTGTGTTAAACGGGACAACAAAGGGTGCTATGCCTACATTATGATGAATATTTAGTCCTATAGGTCTTGCTGTATTCAATGTCTCAATCCAAACTTGTCATTGTGCCATTATTTTTTATAAATATATCAGAATAGTGGCATGTTCAATTGTTCCGTCGCACTGTATACCAAGCTTAATGCATATTTACAACAAATATTGATTATTCGCTTAAAGGGACAGAGCGGAATCATCTCAGCTGGTGATATAAATCATCTCATCGGATCCGTCGCTTAATGCTAATATCGGAAAATTTCCGACTGCTGCGTCTTAATAAACCGTACTTGTGTCAAGGTCATATAGTTACCGTAAAGTACTGTACTACAGAGATGTCAGTGACTTCACCCGTCAGTGTACCATAGCCTGAACAAATGATGACAAATTCTCCAAGGATCAAAATAATCTCTTGGTTAATGCCCATGCTGGTATATTTGAAATACTTCATATGATCAACACCTGCTTTTTCAACTAGTCTCATCAGTTTGTGCAGTTTATGATTAGCCATCTTTGGTCAAAAGGCTGCAAAAAGGCAATTCAATTTCAATGGCAGTCCCTGCATGGTACTTTACAGCTGATTTCGGAATCTCACAGCCGCTTTGTCATTATATTTAACTGCACAGTTCTGCACATTGCTTCTTGCACAAAATGCAGAACATCCCCTCACTTTCAGAGTATGCCAATCATATTCTAGTTTTTTCATCAAAGCCTTGGGCTTGGCTGCTATTATGGATTTGGTCAGGTTATCACCACCTGATACAGAGTTGCAACCATACTGATGGCAGTTGTAATAGTGTGTGTAGCTCTGTTGTATCTCCTAAAGACCAACTCCACCGCCTTATGTGCATGGAATATCATTTCAAAGATTTGACGACAAGATACCAAATTTTGTAACTGCTTGGTAGAAATCGGTATTCCCACAAATATATTATTGACATAAATTTGTTTTTATCTTTTCCTGAGTTTGTTACATAACCTAAGCATGTTAGAAGCCTGGCATTTTGATGTCTTGAAATCGATCAAACTCTACTCGGATATTTTCATATTATGCCAATTAAAATATTTTCCATTTTATATTTACAGGTTTTATAGGTTCAGGATGGATGACCATGAAGAGTTTGATTTTAGGAAAAAAGAGTTCAAAGACCAGTAAATTTTCTTTAAGAACATAATGGAGACATTGTTGTGTTTTGTTTGCGTTTTTAAAAGAGGAAATGCTCTAATATGAAATCTAACACTCGTCAACTCGTCAAAAGCAGATATTTATATTTATGACACATTTCCTTACTACTTTAGAGATAGTATATCATTTTAATTTACTATAAAATGACAATTATGACTCGTTCCCAATGATAAAGAGCTGTGGTATTTTCATCATCAAATGAAAATAGAAATCATTGACGTTATTGTACATCATCGAATTAAAAATCATTAAAAACTTGTCATTGTGCCATTATTTTTATAAATATATCAGAATAGTGGCATTTTCAATTGTTCCGTCGCACTGTATACCATGCTTAAATGCATATTTACAACAAATATTGATTATTCGCTTAAAGGGACAGAGCGGAATCATCTCAGCTGGTGATATAAATCATCTCATCGGATCCGTCGCTTAATGCTAATATCGGAAAATTTCCGACTGCTGCGTCTTAATAAACCGTACTTGTGTCAAGTTCATATAGTTACCGTAAAGTTACATTAGTTTATGGCACCGCGAAAATGTCAAAATGAATGTTACTTGGAGATGCCAAAACTTACACAAGAACCCATAAGAACGAGCACCTATAAGAAATCTTCTATTACGCAAGGTGTTTAATACTTGAGTCCGTCAAGTAATGAGAAGTGTCTTGGGTCCATTTCTCTTATGGGAAACGTCTAACTGACCAAATTTTACCAACTTAACGAAGTATCAACAACCAAACCAACAACACAGAATCATCCAATTTGAACCAATCCAACTACCAACCAACCAGACGCCAGCACAAAAAGGAGTCTTCACCCTAACGTAACAGAAGTGGACTGGCAGATATACACACAAGGCACGTCTTACTCTTTA